TATGGATTGAAGCTCAACATCAAGAAAACAAATATTCTCACCACTGGGTCAATTGGCAGCTTCAGTATGGATGGTGAAGAGATTGAGATAGTTAAAAGTTTTAGTTGGCTGCTAGCTTTCAGGTCCAATCTTGGTCTAGATTTCCTCACTAACTGATAATGTCATTATTTGCACAGCTGAATGTGAACAGAAAATCCATAGTCCAAGTGGCATCATCACTAGCCCCAACTGGCCAGACAAGTACCCAAGCAGGAAGGAATGCACGTGGGAAATTAGCGCCACTCCTGGCCACCGAATCAAATTAGTAAGTGATTCTTCTTTTTATTGAGCTCACTACCTATGCATCTCATAGCTACCATGTGGAAATAAAGTGGATGTTTGTTTAATTGAACTGAATTAACAATTAGCTGGAAAAGAATTTCATTCTCTTTCTGTCCTACTTACATTAACAAATCCTTGATTTCCTTGTTAAATCAAATTGTATTGATATCAACGCATTGGTGCCTCACCGTGACATCCTGTTGCTGTTTGTTGTTGTTCTTAAGTGCCTTCAAGTCGTAGACGACTGAGAGCGACCCTATGAATGAAAGACCTGAACAATTGTATAACTTTCATCATTTCTCCATGTTCATAGAGTTTCTGGAGGCAAGCTGTTTTGGAAGAGGATGCCACTCCTGCTTCCAAGCTTGTTATAATTGGGGAGCTCCACCAAGCACTGTCCACCATGGGTAACCATTATCACATTTGACAAATCAGTGTCACAGTATTTAGCATCACAGCAACCGTGAGTTGCCTCTACAGCAAATGGACAGACCAGTGATATGCTGTTGTTGTTGTTGTTGTGCTGTCAAGTCGCTTGTGACTCATAGAGACCCTGTGTACAACAGCCCTAAACCCTGCTCTATCCTGTGCCAATAGCACTGCCTCTGACACACCCATCCCGGTTATTCCAGTCACTGAATCAGTCCACCTCATAGAGGGTCTTCCCCTCCTGCCCTGTCCCTCCACCCTCCCAAGCATGATGTCCCTCTCCAAGGACCTGTCCCTCCTTACAACATGTCCAAATTATGTCAGATGAAGCCCCAGAAGGAGCAGCCCGGTGTAACCCTCTCATGGATAAATCTGATTGCTTTAAATGTCATCGCAGAAGCTATTGTAAAATAATTGATGCTACTTTTAAAATGATTGGTAAAGATGATTAAAATGGTAAAAATAAATAAAAAAACAACAATAGAAAAATTATAAATTCATCCGGAAAACAATAGAATACTTACTCACTGAATTGCAATCATAAGAATATCGAGATTTTAGCACTGATCAACCTCAGTAAAGACTGATTTTTCTGTCACTGGGTTACTACTAAAACTCAAAAAGATGTAGTTTATTCTTCTCTACTTTTTAAATTTGTACTTTGGACTATAGCAGGGATTTAAATTCATCCTCATTGTACTTATAATATAAACTTCAAAATTGCAGGAAAATGTTAACAATAATATTATTTCATTACTATATGTTAATAATGAAAGTGTAACTTTTTGTGAGAAAGCATGAATCTTTCTGCACAGGTTAGTCAGGGCTGTTGTTAATATTCCATATTTTCTAATTTTAATTATTTTCAATCCCCAGACAGCAGTCATTTTTTTAACCATAAATTTATTTTGACTAGTCATCTTTCTTTACTATTATAATTCACATGAATTCAGATCTATCCACACCTACATCAAAAAAGGAGTTTTCCTTAAGATAATAATCTTTTCTCTATTACGAGTTTATTTGTAATCTATTTTCGTCAGAAGATTGTTCCTTCCTTTAAAATAATAGATCATCTTTATCAGTGAATATTCCAAAGCTTACTTAACAAAGTTAAATATACTTTGGACAAAGTCTATTTATTGATATTTTTTATATCTCCATGTAAATATTGTCTTAATACTAATTTTTAAAGGAATAGCTAAATTGATATTAAAAATAAACTTTAGTAAGTTAAATTCCTAATTATACACACATACATGTTGGTTTTGTTGTTGTTATGTGCTGTTCAATTGCCTGTGACTCATAGTGACCCAATGTACAACAGCCCTAAACTCTGCTCTGTCCTTTGACAATCTTACTGTCTCTGACACACATATTCACATTAGCTCAGTCACTGAATCAGTGCATCTCATGGAGAGTCTTCCTCTCTTGTACTGTCCTTCCACCCTCCCAAACATGATGTCCCTCTCCAAGGAATAGTCCCTCTTTACAACATGTCCAAAGTATGTCAGCCAAAGCTTCAGAATCTTGCCTCCAAGGAGCAGCCTGGTCTCACACTCTCTAGGATGAACTTGTTTGTTCTCCTATCAGTCCATGGTATATTCAGTACTCTTCTCCAGCACCACAGCTCAAAGGAATCAACTCTCCTTCTATCATCCCTAGTCATTGTCCAGCTTTCTGAATATATAAATATGTCAAATAGCTATGACCCTGTGTATCTGTGTACATACCACACAGGAATATCTTTTTTAAGAAGTAGTCACTTAGATAAAGTATGGGATACTAGTATGTGTAAAAAAGGTATTTGAAAGGTAATTGTATCTTTGTACCATTCCTATTTAATCATGTGTTGTTGTTGTTGTT